GACCTGTCTACAGTGAGGTTGTGTCCTACTTACAAACTCTATACGACAGTGTTGCCGAGACTTTGCCTTTCGACCAGCCCGAACAAGAGCATGTCGACGACGAACTCAACGATTACAATATCGCCGCCACGAAAACTGAACAGCTACGCTACCTCCCCCCGGGCAGCATGTTCGAGGTTTGGCGGCAGTATCGGGCGGTGTCAAAGTCCTCTTGCTCTTGGCAATGTTTCTTCAAAGCTTGGAGGGATGAGTTCAGCGGCAAACTCACGTTCCGCAACAAATACACGTTCGGTATTTGTTCAACTTGTGTCAAGCACAAGTTGATGCTTCGACACTTGGGTAGCGACGCGACGAGCCGCTTGAGACAACGCCACCTTTACGACCGGCATCTGCAAGCCCAATACGACGACCGGAAAATCTATTGGGAAAATAGAAGCTGCAGTCGCTCACACTACAAGACTATCACAGTGGTCGTGGATGCTATAGACCAAGCAAAGTTTGCCGTTCCGAAGAGCCCCGTGTTCAATGATCATTTATTTCAGCAGTTCGTACGACCTCGGCTCCATGTCTGGGGCATTATTGTCCACGGGTGGGGTGCCTATGTAGCTGTCTCGGACGCTGACACATCCAAGGGGGGCAGTACTTTGGTTGATTTGCTGATCTTCGTGCTGTCCAAGCTTCGGAGCAAAGGTGTTCCCTTGGGCAACTTCGACTTCTGTGTGCAACTGGACAACACGAGTTCGAGTAATAAAAACAACGTCGCACTGGCTTTTGCCGCATGTTGTGCTCACTTCAAACTGCTTTCTTCTTTCCGCTTATGCTTCCTCCGTGTCGGGCATACACACGAGGACTTCCGAGGTTGGATACTAGAGGACTTTCGAGGTTGAATACTACAGACTACAATGAAGCTTGAAGCCTTAATGCTGAAGCCCCCTGTGAGGACATTGACCAATGGCTGGGCGAACTGGCAGGTTGCTTGTCATTGTCTGGTCGCAGTCTTACTCCCAGCCCTTTGCCGCGATCTGAGGTTTTGTTCGTCGTAAACTTCCTGTTTGCGAGACTCCGGACCAGCTTATCAAGGAACTCAGCGCCAAGTTTATGCCTTTCACTCGGCCGCAAGAGCCGGATCGGTGTGCCTTCAAGCATGACTGGGTAAGGGATTGGAAAAGCTTTTTCGAGTGTCTTGGCAAACGGATCTCTGGGATTTCTGGTCCGGCTGCCCCGCACCACTTCGAGTTTCGTCGCAGGGACAGCTCCTTTCTTTCGATTCTGCATCTTTTCATGTTGGAGCGACCGAGAGAGCCGAACCAGAGAGAGAGAGGGATAAACAATAAACCCCGAAACCCTAAACCCTAAACCCCTAAACCCGAAACCCTAAACCTAAACCTAACCCTAAACCCTAAACCCTAAACCCTAAACCCTAAACCCTAAACCCTAAACCCTAAACCCTAAACCCTAAACCCTAAACCAAAACCCAAAAACACTAAACCAGAAACTCTAAACCCCAGCCCGTCCAATGAGGTTTGGATCCAGGCGATGCCTTGGCATCCGCTGGGGCTGCAAGCGATGTGATGCTCCTGCTGCTCGACCTGACATGTTCAGGATCCCGGCTTTAGGGGGCCACCACGTTCGAGGCAGCATGTCCAGGGCTTTTTTAGAGTTTTAGGGCTGTAGGGTTTTTGAAGTGAGGTGCAAGCAGTGGATGGCAGACTCGAACTACAGCTCTCGACTGGTCTATCTTACGCAAGCTGATGTTCGAAACCTTCCAGGATGCAAGCCGACAGGCCTTGGCTCTAAAAACACTTAATCCTGAAACCCGTAAACCCTAAACCCAAAACCCCCAAACCCCGCAAAACCCAAAACCCTGGAGCCTGGAACCCTAAACCCTCAACCCACAACCCAAAGCCCAAAAGCCCCACGTCGCAGGCTTCGTAGATCGCCGACCCAAGCCAGAGAAATATGTGAAGATGATCAAAGGCCTGGCCTCTGCAATCACCACGCACCCGTTCACCTTGCATCGGGCCGCTGGCTATCTTCGGGGTTGGGTTGACGGCACGCTGGCTAAGCAGCCACCCCTCGATTGCCTGGAGCTTCGAATGTTTGCTGGAGGGTCTCCTGTCGCACGGGCGGGTGTGGGAATGCATGCCATGTCCATGGAGCCGGCCCAGTCCGTGGTTCGTGTGCACAGTGCTGCTGCCGGGAGTGGGGAGTCTGAGTGCAGCATGAAGATGTCGGTGCTGAACGATGTTGCACGAGACTTACATGGAAATGGCATGCCATGGTTGGAGGCCTATTCCCAGGCCTACAAGATGTGGGGCTACTTGCCGCTCGCCGTTCGGTCGAGCATGGAGTCCTCGCTTGCAATCCCGGCCGGCGAACAGGTGGATGATGCTGGTGATGCTGGTGTGCCTTTGGAGGCCGAGTTTCAGAGGGAATCCTAGAGTCTTGGTATGCACGGCCATTGCACAGTCGACAGTGATTGTCAAATGCTGCACACAAAAAAGGATCCACGGTTTGGGAACCTCGAATCAATCGCAAACAAACCCCGAACCCCGCACAGGAACCTCGCACGGGTGATCTATCACAAACCCCGAACCCCGCACGGAAGATCTATCACAAACCCCAGACCCCGCACTCGGAGCCTCGATTAATCACAAACGGGCTTGGCACGAAAACCCGGGTTTTGTGATAGACGCAGACTGCGGATATCACAAAAAACTAGTGTTGCAAAGGTTTCCTGGGGACGCAAATACACGGCATTCGGGGTTATCCTCTGCAAACCAGGTGTTTTGTGATATCCGCAGACTGAGGATATCACAAAACACAGCTCCCACCGCAGGGCCGGTTTTGTGATAGATGCAGACTACGGATATCGCAAACCCCGAACCTCGCACGGGTGATCTATCACAAACCCCGAACCTCGCACGGGCGATCTATCACAAACCCCGAACCTCGCACGGGTGATCTATTGCAACCCCCGAACCCCGCACAGGAACCTCGATCGGGTGATCTATCACAAACCCCGAACCCCGCACGGGTGATCTATCGAAAACCCCTTACCCCGCACGACTGATCTATAATCTTGACGTGAAATCGTCGGGCTCCTGTGTAGTCCCAAAAAAAATGGTCCCCGTTTAGTAAGGATCTGGCAGATCCCTATATAACGGGGACCGTTTTTTTTACAACCAGCCGGGAAACGCCCTTAAAAATGCCATCTTGATGGACAAGAACTTAGCCCTTGCTTAAATTTCCAACAAATCTCTTGATGCATAAGAACTTTAGCCCTTCCGGGCCACTCCCAGCAAATTGGTGGCAGTTCGGTTATAGCTTCTGAACCAAGGAACTGCTTCGAAGAAGCTGCTCGCTCTTCTATGACATCCTGGTTTTCTTCAACTCCGGAGACAGCCCCAACCAAGTCTTGTGATAAAGTGTCAGCTCCAGCTTGCTTCGCATGTTCTGCATGGCTGCTGTTGTTGAAAACTTTGAAAACTGCCGGCATATCTTGTCATCTCTTGCAACATGTCTTGCTAGCATTGTTCACTGTCGTCGCAGCAGGTGTGGCTGAGAGTGTGTTTGTGCCTGTGTGAACCACGGCTCCTGATGGGAAAACGTGGTGCCGGTGCCGATTCCGGTGCTGCCAAGGCAAAGGCTTCGAAGGTCCCACGTCGCAACTCGACCGACGAGGTGGACTCTCAGGTGGCCAAGGCCTTGGTCGCAGCAGAGGCAATACCCTGGTGGGGGGATGCGACACTACTGCTTGAGAAGATCCTAGGCAATCGGGGGGCTGCCCACTTTTTTGAGACTAAGTTCCCGAATGTGGAGGCCCGGAAAGCCCTGGCTGAGAGGTTCTTGCAAGCCTTTCCCCTGCCAAGCTCCCAGACCCTCTCCTCCGATCTGAGCAGCGGTGTCAAGACTTTGCAGTTTTGGCAGACATGCTGGCATCCGCAAGGCGGGAACCGTGGCATGGCCAGCAACGACGTGTTCAGTAGCCTGGTGCAGTTAATCCTCTTGCAGGGCTTCAAAACAGACGCCTCGCTGCTGGCTGGAACGGAGTACCCTGTTCTGCAAGCAGTTCAGCCGGTATACTTCGATTCTCCTTGGGACACCCCCGAGTTGGTTCCAAACACCATGGGCTTGAACTCCGTGGCCCTGCTCAAGGGCTGGACAAGATGCCTTGCCATGACAACCGCCGCCTTTATCATCACCGAGCTCAACGTGGTGGATTACTACAAACAGCAGCTCCCCGAGCAGTACCAGAGCTATTGTGTCATGAAAGGCATGGTGCCATCTGGTGGAGGGGGGTCCGAGATTGATCGCATCGCCGCACACCGGGGCAGCTTGTTCGCAAAGTTGGGGATTATTTCCGGGATTATGTGTAGCTGTGGGTGCAGAATTCGGGGGGTTGTATTTGGCTTTGGGTGCACAGTTCGGGGCTTCGAAATACGAGCATACAGATCTAAATACAAAACTAAACCCTCACAGCCCCAACCCGATATCCTAAACCGCCCTGCTCTCCGACCCAGACATCACCATGGCCTCCGTCGTGACGAGAACGGCTCCACACTGCTTTAATACTCTGCATCAACTCTATCGCAGAGTGCGGCATGGCGAAACCATCGAACAGGTGGTGAAAGCCTACGAAAATCCGAAGTCCGTCAGGTCGGTCCTAGGCATGGGACCCGCCGAGTCCCAAGCTGTGGTGAACCTTGTGCACTTCATCCCGGTCGGGGCGAAGGAGATCCTCACACAAGCAGCCGTGGAATTTGGCATGAAGAAAGGGGTCTTGAGCCACGCCGGACTGGGCTGCTTGGCTATGAGAGTGGGCCACTGCTTGGACAGCACGGTTCCGGATTGGAAAGAACGCTTATGCTTGACAAGCAGCTCAGTCCTACTCACCTGCCGCCGACTGGTGGAGGACTACCGAGCACAAGCTGCAGGCATGAGGAAAACGAATGGCCCAAACGAGGTTGCAAGAATGAGCAGGATCTGCAAGGTTTGGGAGGTCGTTCTTGCCGAGCTCCGGACCCAGTTGACCACCGAGCAGTACGGGAATTCCGAGAAGAACCTGCACAAGGCTTTCGAGACCGGTGCATTCGATGATCAGCTGTACCAGATGGCTGTGGAATGCCCCGCGACAATCAACCTACAAGACATCCCCGACATTGCCGTGCTGCTGCAGACCCATGCCAGCGAGATCGAGAAGGCTTTACCCCAAACCGAATAAAAGCCCGCTTCTCACCATGTGCCCTCCGTGCTCCTAAACTTCGCCCTAAACCCTTGACCTTGAAACATCCCGCAGGCCGCGATTGCCAAGTCGAAGGCCCTTCAAATCCAAGTGGAAGCCGCCACGTTCAACAAGATGGAAAACGATCTCTCGGATGACAAGGACAAATTGCTGGACTGGGCCAAGAAGGAACACCAGAGGACAGCTACAGCTGCCAGTGTCGTTCTGAGTCACCAGCGAAAACGGTACATCAAAGGCCTGGCCGCCGTCGAGGCTCACATGGATTCCTGGCTGCAAGTGGTTACTGCCCCTCAATCCGAGTGGGAGATGAAGGTGGCCGAGTTTCGCAAGAACGTTTTTGAGAGAGTTGGGGTCGCTGCAGCAAAAAGGCGGGATGTAAGTTTTTCTTTTTATTCTGCAGTTCATGCTCTGAGCCCGTAAGGTTCAGGATTTACGATGTTTCAGGGTTTAGAAACTACGGTTTCGGGTTTCGGGGGTGAGAGTCAAGACCAAACCCTAAACCCAAAACCATATCAGACCTTGTTATCTTTGCAGGTTCTTGCTCCTGGTGGTGGACCTGTCTATCACGCCGACCAATGGCGAAATCGACGAGATTGTGAAGTTCGCTGCAAGCATGCTTCACGCCAGTGGCCAGAATGCACTCTTCTACCTGCTCCCTCAGCAGTACAACAGGAACCAAGCAATGACGGCAGTCCTTTCGGGGCAACGCCGAATCGAGGACAAACTCCTCGCAGCGGGGATCTGTGTGGAGAACCCCATTGGCATCCATTACCACATCGACGGGATGCACGCCAGCGACAGACGCCGCCTAGCAGCACAAGCTCGCCTAGCCGTGAGTTCCAAAGTTCACGCAGATGGCTGGCTACAGTCTGCAGTTTCAAGGGGCAAGATAGACGGGGTACCGTTGGTCAGGGTCCGCGAAATGAAAAAATTGAGCATGCCCGGCTCGGTATGTTCACAGGATTCTTGGGAGCTCTCTCCACAAGAACGTCTCCTGCAGAGAGGGCCCGAGGCAGCAGCCGCCATCCTCGAGAACGTCATCAAGGACACCGTTGTCACTGGATCCGATTCTGTGCTGACTGTCGTGGAGGCAAGAATGGCTCCAAACTGTGCAGACTGGGCAGAGGGAGTGTTGCAGCTCAAGGACAAGTGGGCTACGCAAAGCGACAAACCGGTCCTGTCCTACATCGGCTTGTGCAAGGACACGAATGCAGTGAGGCCGCACTTGCAGACTCTTCTCATGCAGCAGTGGTGGCCTCAGCAGCCGCAAGCTGGACCGCCGGAGCCAACTTCGCAACCTCTGGAGTTTCCAGAGGTCAAGCTTGCGACTTTTCAGGATGGAGTTCCCTCGCTACCGCCCATCGTTGTTTCCAAGTTCGACGGCAACGAGACCTTTTCGGACAAATGGAATGCTTTGGTCGCTGACTTCAGGCAATGCATCAAAGATCAAGTGATTCCCAGGATCGCGGTTTCGATCCCGAGCCCCGGTGCTGCTCAGTCTCAGTCGGCTAGTGGTGGCCCTGGTGGGCCCGACTTCAGCCACCCGCCTTTCGTGCCGGAGCCCTCGAGAGTTATCTTCCCCAACCAGCCCGCTGCCGAGTTCAACTTGGACAATGTGTGGCTGGGACTGCAAAACAAGAAACACGCAACCCCAACAATCAGTATAGTTACACATATAGATATCATGTATGCTTCGAAACAACACTGTAGTAACGTACTTGCTCCCTCTGGCAGGCTGTTCTCCGTCAAGGGCACAAAAACTTTGCCGGCTATGCACATCACGAAGGACTGGGAGCTCTACTTGAGTGTGGAGGCCACTCTGAGCTTGGAGCCCTCGGAGATCTGTGGATTCAACGTGGGGGACCTGTTCAAAGGCACGCTTCTGCTTGTTTCATTAAGACCCCTGAACCCTTAACCCTGAACCCTGAAATCCACGAAACCCTGCAATTCCCAGTCAACTCGCTGCCGGACACGAACAAATCGATTCTGTGGTCCCTCTCGGATGATGTGGATCAAGTTATCCTGGAAACCGCTCCCGGGGAACGCAGAATTTGCACACTGGCAGAAGCTCGCTTCCACGCCTTCAAGGTCATGAGCATTCCGGACATCGGCCTCCAGAATTTCAAGCTCACAAATCTCAAGGCAGGATTTCGGGTTTTAGGGTTTAGG